TAGAATGTTTCACTCTTACATAAAAGAGAGAGAGTAAAAGGTTTTTCTTAACGGTTTACAGCTTTAGCTTTAAAAACTTGTTTTTTGGAAATAATTTCAAATTTATAAAAGTTACAAAATAATAAAAACAGTACAATAGTACCTCCTTACCCCTCATTTCTTCCATGAACATGTGGGGAATACTCACTCTTCCAGGAAGTAGAAATCCCAACCAAAACTCCTCAAGGTGGTGTACACCTTGCAGAGATGCTGATAACCATTGGTACCAGCTTCTTCTCAGTCCCCTGTTATCTCAGTCATAAAACTGAAATAACTGTATTTTGTATTGGTGAAGAATAGCTGCTCACTTTCAGAAGCTTGTGCATTTTAAGGATTGAAAATAAATCTGTGACAAGAGGATGTAATTCATGTATATTTTGATAGATTTGTTTATTGTTACATGTGAGCCAAGGTTAAAAGAAATTACATTGGAGTTTAAAATAGCTCCGGTTTAGCCATTTGTCAAGTGTTAAAGTATTTTAGCATCGCATAATTGGTAGTTAGCAGTTGTTTATGGTGTCTTTTTTGTAGTAAATATTTTCATCAAGTTCTAATCTTTTGTCAGTCAGTTCTTGAAGATAACACAGGTGCAAACTTACAACTTCTCTGCAAAATGGGTATATATGCATAGTTGTACAATGATTTTTGTTCATTTACTTTTTACAATTAATTTTTTTATCCTCACCTGAGGACTTTTTTTTTATTGCTTTTAGAAGGAGAGGAAGGGAGAGAGAGAGAGAAGCATCCATTGGTTGCCTCCTGTACACACCCAGACTGGGATCGGCACCCGGACTGAGGTTGCCTATGCCCAGGACAGGGATCAACCCTCAACCTAGGTATGTGCCCTGACTGGGAATTGAACCCGCAACCTTTTGGTTATGGGACAGCGCTCCAACCTACTGAGCCACACTGGCCAGGGTGACTTTTTACACTTAATTTTTGACTAGATAAGGTATTTACGTGATTCAGAACTAAAAACTCTGAAAAGATGTACATTAAGGCACAGGTGGCAAACACAAGGCCCGCGGGCCGAATCCGGCCCTCCACCTTGTTTTATCCAGCCAGGCACCTTGTTTCTACCCAGCGGCAGCGCTGAGCTCTCAATTAACTTTTAAAGAGTAGTTACATTTATACAGTCCTAAAATTGCATTCGGCCCTTTGAAGGCAACTGTGAGGCTGATGTGGCCCCTGGTGAAAATGAGTGTGACGCCCCTGCTCTAAGAAATCACCCCCTCTTCACTACCTTTGCGTGGTTTCCCTGCAGCTCCATGTAGGTAACGGTTACATTCTCTTTGTGGTTCTTTTTCCACTATCTCTTTATGCAAACACCAATAGCTATTTCTCTCTTCCTCTCTTTTTTACCTCCAAAATACTTCCTTTATTTAACAGTATCTTCGAGATTTCTCACTACCCATACATGAAATGCTTCCTCATTTCTCCCCCAGTGAATTTTTAATCAGATTAAAGGTATGCGTAACTGTGGAGAAATTATTGATAGAAGTTGTAATAAAAGTACATTTAGAATCTGTAGCAAACTTTTTCAAATAATACTTTAAAAATAAAGAATTAAGTAAAAAATAGTATAATTGCAAGTAATGGGGGGGGGTCTTTCCCTGGAACCTTTCTAAGTGTTCTGTTGGCCAGGAGGTTGCTCCCGCCGGCTAGTGCAGGAAGTCTGTGTGCACCAGGAGCTTGGGCTCACGTTTCTTCCTCTGCTCCTCCTCCACCCTCTTCTCCATCTTCCCTGACACGTTTATTAGACTATTTGGAACTTTAGTTCTCTTACTGGATTGACAAGATCACTCTTCTAAAAAGACTTTAGATTGTATATGAACTCAAATAAGAAAGTGTGCTTAGAAGTTTGATACATGAGCATTTCATTTTTATTTTCAGTTTTCTAGGAAGAAAATTTGCCTAAAGAAAATAACCTAGCTATCCTGTACAACATTTTGGTTGTCATCTTTATGTGTCTTTCCCACATTCTGAATTAATGTACACAGGGTTCTTATTCATAAGGGAAGATAAAATGGAGCTGTTTACCATAATATCTCTACTCTTTATATTAAATAAACCAGTGTAATTCTACTTGAGTAATTCTTAGTTGACTTTTTAAATTTAGGTATTTAAAGTTAATAATTTTCTGATTTCCAACACTTTCTATTTTCTAGTAGGTCTTTTCTCTGGCAGTCTGTGTTTGTTTGATCTGCCATAATCTCTAAAAATACATATTTTTTTAAAAGTTCTGTTTCTTGTGTTTGCTGGGTTTACTAATTTCTCCCATCACTTTTTTAAAATCCTCCTTTGAGGATTTTTATTTAACTGCTTTGAGAGAGAGAGAGAGAGGAAGGGAGGAGAAACAGAGACAGACATCGATGGGTTGCCTCTCGTACACACTCTGATCGAATCTGCAACCTAGGTGTGTGCCTTGCCTGAAAATTGGACACACGACATTTTGGTGTGTGAGATGATGCTCCAACCCACTGAGCTGCCTGGTCAGGGCTTTCCCCCTCATGTTTATTATTTCTATTGCTGGTGATTTTTCTTCACTTTGGTGTCCATTCATATGTGAGGACTGAAATCATTAGTATTTTAATGAGTGTGTGTTTTCTTGGCAGTTAGAAAGGTCATTGTTTTTCCACCAGGCTTTTCCTGTGATGGATGTTTTCATCAATCCAAAAAGTTCCCTTGTGCCCCTCTGTAATCAGTCTTTCCCCAGACCTTGGCAGCCATTGATCTGCTTTCTGTCTGTATAGTGTTACCCTAGAATATTATGCAAATGCAGTCCTACAACATGTAGCATTTCAAGTGTGGCTGCTTTCACTTAGCATGATCCTTTTGACAGCCATTGAGTAGTAATTTCATTGAATAGATGTACCACGTCCATCTCTTGGTGGACATTTTGTTGTTCATGGTTTTTGGCGGTTATGAATAGAGCTGCTGTAAATATCAATATAAAGGATTTTTTAAAAAATGGACATAGTTCTTCATTCCTCTTGGGGAAGAACCTGGCAGTAAGTAACTTTGTAAGAAACTGCCAAGCTCTCTTCCAAAGGGACTACCATTCTGCATCTGTATCAGCCATGAAGAGCGGTCCAGTTGCTCCACCGCATGAGCAGTTAGTATTCTTGGGAATATTTTATTTTTAAGATTTTATTTATTTATTTTTAGATAGGAGAAAGGAGGGAAGAAGAGGGAGAAAAACATCAAAGTGAGAGAGAAACATAAACCAGTTGCCTCTTGTAAGTGTCCTGACCAGGGACCGAACCTGGAACCCGGGCATGTGTCCTGACTGGGAATTGAACTGGTGACTTTTTATAGTTTACAGGATGATGTCCAACAACTGAGCCACACCAGTCAGGACTTTTTTTTTTTTAATAATTTCATTTATTTTTAGAGAGAGGGAAAGGGAGGGAAACAGAGGAAGAGAAACATCGATGTGAGAAAAGAAGAGTATTTTTTCCCGGTCTGTGGCTTGTGTTTCTATTTTCTCTTGAGTAAATTTTGAGGCTTGTATTTAGAGTTAAAGGTCTCTGTAGTAGGACTATAAAGGAATACCAGTCAGCAGTATCGTTTCTTTACCTACATCTCACCTCCACCTTTCTCTTCTTTATTTTCACACAAAGATACCTTTCTCTTGCCTGAGTGAAATCAACATAAGCTTTTTCCCAGTGTTGAAGATGATGAAGACCCTCAGAGCTCACTGAGCTCACAATGAAGTATTTTTAAATTGTTGTGCAACTCTGCTTATTTTCACCATTACTTTTTCCCCTAGTTATTTTTGTTTAACAATCAGCAGTTCTAATCCACATCAACTGTAGATTTTTGAAAGTGGTGACAGGTATGTAGGTAAACTAATTTACAGAGCTCATACAGTGGCTCTTCATCTTCATTACATTTTCTGGACAGCCACACTGGGTATAGTATGGGGTATCCTTATCCCTTTGGACTAGGCAGCTTATTGAGCCTAGCGTCAGTGGGCACATTTGGAGTTCCCATCTCCTTCATGGCAAATTTCTGGATCTAAGTGTCCAAGAGTCACACTTCTTGAAACGCAGTCCATGGATGCACTTGCGAACATCGATGTATTCTCTGATGACTACCTTGTTGATGGCAGAATGACCCTTCTTCTCACCATCCGCCCCTCACCCCCCTTGTGGCAGCTATCCTGCTGGGCCCTGGTTGGAAAGGAAAAGCTTCACAACATTACATTCAGTGCACAGTTTCTTTGTGGACTTCGGCATGTATATGTAAATGCTGTGTCAAGATGTTTTTGTTTTTTAATATACATTTACAATTTTGGTAGCTTCTGCAAAAGAGCTATCCAGAAATGTTTTCCCCCAGAATGTCAATGCATTCTTATCAATAGGCTGTGAGAGTTAGTTGTTAACTTATTCACATTTGCAATAATAATGGGTAACGTCCATTCGTGTGGTATTTAGTTACTGGTTGTTTTTGAATTACATGCTTATAAATTCCCCTGCAGGTTACTAGACTGTCAGCTCCATTTTAGCAGAGGAACCATAACTCTGTCTACCATCTTTATTCTTAGGACCGATCATGGTGCATAGCACTCAGTAGTTGCTAAATAGTTAATCGATTAAATGAATAAATAATTAGTGAGGTTTTCTCTTTTGTAGAAATGTAGTCACAATGATTCTTCTTGTCAGGGACTTATTTCTGGAACCCTGGAGGGAGAGTATGAATTGCCAGGCACTTGTTAAACTTGCTTCCATGTAGTTTAATCAGTTGTCTTTCCAGAAAGTCACATTCAGAATTCTGTGCAGTTAGGGTTCACAACTAGGTTTATGTCTATCAAGTAATATGTTTATCTGTTCATCAGGTTTCAGTGTATTTTTAAGATAAAAATTACATATTTTTAAAGATCATTAAGCTCATTAGTATTTTCCTCTTTTGGATTTCCCTATCTTTCCATTTGAACCGCATTTTCTGCTTCTCTTTAGTATGTATGGCAGAGAAAACTGAAATGGAAGTAGTGGCATGAGTCAGCAGAAAGGTAAACGGAACAACTGGAAATGTTTGTTAGTCAAAAAACTCTCCTGTAAGCAGAAATCTGCTTATGAGTTTGGTGTACAAACCTGCTTTGCCCTGTTTCAAAATAAGCTTTAACAATTTCAGAGTGTTTTTTGACAGTTTTGTAGAGAAAGCTAAATAGTATTTTCTTGTTTGTTATTGGAAAATACGACACCTAGAAATCTCACCTTGCAGACCTTTGATTTATTTAATTAGGGAAGGGTTGTGGGGATTCTAACCCAGATATATTTCATGTGATTATTTTAATATGTGGTATTTTTTCCTGAAAGTATTAATATGTATAGTGTATGTGATCAGTGATTCTCTTTTTTCCAGTATATTTTTGGAGATTTTAGCCCTGATGAATTCAATCAGTTCTTTGTGACTCCTCGCTCTTCAGTTGAGGTAAGACAGAACTTTGTTTTATTGAGTATGTGTGTAAATAGAGTTAATGGTTATGTTTTAATTTTGATTTTTTAATTTATGCTCTTTGACAAGGAATTCCATTGTACAGAAAAGCGCAGAGACTAATATGAGAACGTCTGAACCCACCAGCCAGACTTGGCTAATACTAACACTCAACTATGTTTATAAATAGCAAAACATTGCAGATACAGTTGAAACTTCCATTATACATCACCCTTTTGCATTTCATTCCCCCTTCCCCAGAAGTAATGACTGCTGAAATTGCTAAGTATTGTTTTCTGACTGTGGTTTTCACCTTTTATTATGTGTGTGTATCAATAGATAGTATATTGTATTGTTTGATATGAAATGTCACAAATGGTTTCATACTATATTCATCGTTTTGTAGTTTATCTTAAGCTAATGTCCTTTAGATTTACCTGTACTGATGCATTTTGTTCTTTGATTTCAGTTGCTTAATACCATTGATTAAACATACCACAATTTATCCTTTTTACTGTTGAGGACCATTTAGGTCTTAGTTCTCCCACTATTACAAAAATGTTGCAAAAAACATATTTGTCATGGCTTCTCTTGCTCCTGTGGGTTTCTCCAGGATATATTCCAGGATATGTTCTAGGAGTGGAACTGCTGGATTGTGTAGGGGATAAACACCTGTAGATTTACTAGAGACTGCTGATCTGCTCAGTGGTTTTCACAGTCTGCCTTCCCATCAGCAATGCATGTGTGTTTTCTCTATCTCATTTAAAAACAAGCAAACAAAAAAAAACCTTGCTAATTCTTAGTATAGGCATACTTAAAATTTTTGTTAATCTCATGGGTTATAAAGAGATGGTCATTGTTTTAATTGACATTTCCCAGACGGCGAACAATTGAGTGCTGTTTGTTGGTAATATGTATTTCCAATCCTGTGAGTTACCTGATCTCTGTCCCTTGTCCCTGTTTTTTATCAAGTGATTTGTCTTTTTCTTTTTTCTTTTTTTTTTTTTAAGATTTTATTTGTTTATTTTTAGAGGAGAAGGGAGGGAGATAGACAGAGAGAGAAACATCAATGTGCGGTTGCTGGGGGTTATGGCCTGCAACCCAGGCATGTACCCTGGCTGGGAATCGAACCTGGGACACTTTGGTTCCCAGTCCGCGCTCAATCCACTGAGCTACGCCAGCCAGGGCTTGTCTTTTTCTTATTAATTTAAGAATTAATAATCTTTGGTTTTGCATATTAAAGGTATCTTTTCCTAGCATGGGGGCTTTTAAACTTCATATATGATGTATTTTTATTTTTCCCTGGGTAAGGGGAGTACACTTTTCACTTTAATGTCAAATGTGTTGACTTTTTTCCTCATAGTTTGTGGATTTTTGGTTTTAAAAAAATATCTTTAAGAAATTTTTCCCTTCCCTAAGGTAATAAAGACTTTTTTTTCTTCTAAAAGTCTTCAGGTTTTTGTTTTTACTTTAGTATATAATGCAACTGAAATTGAGGTATTGGTTTTTACATATGTGTGAAGTGGGCAGTAGAAGTTGTCCCAGCACCATTACTGAGGACTCGGCCCGTAAGTGCAGTAGCGCCCTGTCAGGTCGCATCTTCATATGTGCTTGGTTGGTTCTGCGTCTCCTGTTCTGTGTGCCTGTTGGTTTCTCTCTCCGTCAGCACTATACACTTTACACACCCTCTCCTGGGGACCTGGCCTGCAGCCCAGGCATGTGCCCTTACTGGGAGTCAAACTGATGTTGAGGATGAGGGTAGGGTATGAAAGGTGTTGTCTATCAAAATTACATGTGGTTCAGTATCTTGCAAAAGGGAAGTACAGGCTAAATAATGTGATAGGGCTGAGTTCCTGTCCTCAGTTACTACAATTTGGGTGTTTGGATTATAGTAATATGTAGGACACAGACTGTTTAATGTGGTGATGTGTGATTGGACTGGTGGGTGTGTGAGTGATGTTATCTCACTTCTGCAAAGTCATTTGGCCTCTTACCTTGTAGGTAAAATAATTGCATCTCCTACCTGCATTGTTCCTACCATGTGGCATAAATTAGAATCTAACACTATTCCTCATGTATTTTTTTGGCTGCTAAGAACTGGATAAAGCATTTTCGCCCTTTCACTTGGGGCCAAGAACTGAAACACAAAAATTTGAGAAATGAAAACTATAAAAAGTTTTATAAAAATATAAACCATTTATAAAAAACATAAATGTTTACATATAAAAACACTGTCTACAAAAGCATGGTTCCTTTCAGCTGAAAGGTTTTGTCTCTTTTAGTTTGCTTGTTTGAAAGCTCTGGTCGCTGGCAAGATAGGATGGTCAGTAATTTAACAAAATCAGAAGAAACAAATGGAGCTTGTGTATCTTAAAGACATTCCTGGGAGATATTGCAGGTTCCTTTTCAGACCACTGCCACAAAGCAAATATTGTAGTAAAAAGTGAGTCTCACAAATTTTGGTGTTTCCCACTGCATATAAAAATTTGTACTAGTCTGTTAAGTATGCAATAATATTGTCTTAAAAAATGGACATACCTTAATTAAAGATACTGTGTTGCTAAAAACTGCTCACTGTTATCTGCGACTTCAACAGGTAATAATCTTTTTTGTTGGTGGAGGGTCTTGCCTCGGTGTTGGTATATTTTCTCTGAATTCTCTGCAAAGAGCATTTGTAAAATGAAGTACGATAAAATGAGGCATGCCTATATACATTTTTAAAAGGTAATTGCTATCTTTTCTAAAGCTGTGTTCTAGTTTAGAAGCCAGGGTGATTTAAAAATGAATTTCTCCAACTTTAAAATTCAGTCAACTTATGCATAACTGTGTTTTGAATCCCAATCATAATCATGTTATTGGTGTTAAAAATAGGGAAACAATGCAAATTGTTCTGGAAACCTCCCAGGCTCTCATCATTGGAGACAACATATAAACCTCAGTCTGCTACTGAGTAACAAGTCCAGGATAGCATAGTACATGCACAGGTGTGTGTGTGTGTGTGTAGTGACGGAATTAAGACAGTTATTCTCAGTGGTTTGGAGATTTCAGAGGAGAGATTTAGGGTTTGTGAAGGTCTTTGAGATACCAGAACAAATTATGACAGCACTAAAAAGATTTTAAAACATTAAACAAAGGTCCCAACAATTTCTTTTTTAAATTCTCACCCAAGGACATATTTTTGTTGGTTTTAGAGAGAGAGGAAACATCGATTGATTGCCTTCTTGTAGGCAGGCACCCCTGCTAGGGAATCAAACCTGCACTCTGGGTATGTGCTCTGACTGGGAATCAAACCTGCAAACTTTTGGTCTTACTGGACAGTGCTCCAACCAACTGAGCCACACTGGCCAAGGCAAAGGTCCCAAGTCTTAACAAGACTGTTAGCAGTATTTCAGAATGAGGTGATTTAACTGTGTCTAACATAACTAGATTACAGTTTTTTTGCATTTTTCAATTGACCTTTGTGTGATTTTAAGTTCTTGCTTTGGTCTTTCTATTTTGCATTCTTATAAATAGCTGCATAAATAGGAAACTTTAAACAATAAATACAATTTATTCTGCTGTGTATTTATTACACCCAATTACCATAGACTAAAGTGCTTCTTAGGAGTGGTGGAAGTTTTGTTCAATTTAAGGTGACATATGCCTCTAGAGGGAAAAAAAAAGGAAGAAGAAGAAGATGATGATTACTCACTCACACTTCCTGTGGGCCAGAACTCATTCCAGCATACATCAATTCCCACAGTTACACTCTTACCAGATTAGTATATCAAAATAAGTGTGTTAAATACACTAACAGAAAATGGCAGTTTTGCCAAGGAGACTGCTGGGTGGTCTCTTTTCAGATCCTTGCTTCTACCACTTAACTAGATTTTGAAATATGGGGAAGTTAAAAACACCCCAAAACTTTTAGTGCCTTAAAATTGTATAGATTTCTATCACCAGGGGGCACCCCAGTGTCATTGATAGAAAATTTTGGGAAGGCATTCTGTGTATGGGAGTCTGCTAAACTACTTATCTGACTGCAGAGGGACATGACCGCAATTTGTGGCTTCCTCAGATGCACCTTTCTGCTTTATATGTCTGCACCAGTGGTAAATGCTGGAGCACCCGGTGTGAGTGTTTGAGTGCTGTGTGGAATGAATGGTTTTTGCACTTCATGTGCAAGGCCAGTGTAGTTCATCTCCACACACAAAATGCTTTCTCCTTTTGTGACAGTGTGAAGAATACTGGGGTGCCCCTGCATGGTGGAAATATGTGCAGCTCTCAAGTCCTGAATGCGGTCAGTTGCTTTTGAATAGCACTGCATAGCTTCTTATTTGCCATTAATTCTCTGGAGGGAGACCTTGGTTACTTGGAATGAAAAGCTTTTATCTCTGATTATTGAATCGACTTGCTAAGAGTTAATTGGAGAAATCAGCTGAGGAAGCCACTTAAGCAGAAATTCTTAATAATAGTTGACATGGGAATTACCTGGTACCTCTGAATGTTGCAGACTTGGGGACCCCACGCAGTCATGGGGCCATTGTACTGCCAGTGCTGCAGTGAGCAGACTTTGAAAAACACTGGTTTTTGTTCTACTGTTGCCTTCAGGTGACTATTTAATTTGTCTGCTTCCCTTCCCTTCCCTTCCTAAACTTGATATGAAACATACCCATTTTAAATATTTCCAACTCTTAAGTATTATGGAATAGCTAGGAAGGAGAAAACTTGGATGTATTTATTATGTCTTTCTGCTTTTTACAGAGGTCAACTCTGTAGGGAAGCTAGAGGGACCTAATGGCAAGGTCAGACACTTGCCATTTTGCTTGATCTCTTCCAAACAAGGAATGGGATTTCTAGTCCTTAATTTTGTTATTTTTAAGGTATTATATTAAAAAGGGAGCCACAATTCCCAGACTTTTCCTTCCCAGTGGCCTTTTTCCACTCCCTGCTCATGGGTCGGGTCCTGGCCTCTGCTGGCTGTGCTGACCTATACTGATTATGAGCACAGAGTGCGGGTGGTCACCAAGAGTCATCTTTACTGGTGGACAAAGCCAGGTGGCTGTGGCATTTATGAGGAGTCACTAACATCCTGTGAAGCAAAGTATATGTCATAAGCATTTTATTGCAGCTGATTTACATGCCAATTAGAGTTTATTTTTATTTTTTTTTGCCTCATTTTTGGATCTGTTTAATAACTATATTTAAAAGCATTCCTATGGTAGTTTTTCTTAAATGAAGATGATTTAATTGTACTGTCTCTCCATGTGTGTTATTTTAGTAGAAATTTCATGAAAAGTTACACGTATAAAGAGTTTTAATGAAATGTTTTAATTAAAGTAGCACATGTTGGGTTTTACCATTTTCTGAATTAATATTCTTTTGATTCCCTTTGCAGCTTCCTCCATACAATGGAACTGTTCTGTGTGGCACACAGGCTACCGATGAGCTACCCGATGGTGAGCTGCTTCTCTCCTTCATCTGGTCATATGTGCTGGGTGGGCAGGGCACCTGCAAACAGTGTTTTCCTGGTCAGTTGTACTTTCTGAATAACATTCCCTTACAGCTTGATGTTTTGGCTGTAAAATATAGTGGATTTAATCACTGAACCACTTTGACTAATGGATTAAAGTTTATTCTGTGCCTCATAGTGTCAGACATTCAAGGTTTAGTTAAGGAAGTGATGTTCAGTTCTTTGTTTTCCTTAGCAACTCTCAGCGCACAGGTGTGTTCCTCACAGCCAATGGTTTTTGTCAGAGTTAGCAAACTTCCGGTCTGGGGGCCAAGGCTGCTGGGCCCAGGGCCTGCGAATCTCTGAGGTGTGCTCTTTGCACAGCTAGATGGCAGCTTGAATCTGTTGTTCCTGCAGTTTTGCATTTATGACCCCATCCTCACTAATGCTCTTGGGAATTCAGGTAACCTCTTTACCTCTTGCTTCGTTACATTTTTTTTTGATCTATGTCACAGACAATGACCTGGTTCCTGGAGATGGTGCTTGCTGAGATGCGATGACTTTGCATTATTTAGGTGCCCAATATTTAAATAACAGCAGGGGCCTTTGATTGCTGCAGGCCATCATTACTCGGTCAGATCTGTCTAGATCATTTTTTTTTCCAGTTTGAGTCATATCAAAGGCCCTTGCTGCCCATGGAGAAACTAAAAGCTAGGTCTTTTCTTTGAGAGTCTGGGATTTGGTTCCTTGTTTTAACATGGTCAGACCTGTGAAAGGGGTTTTAATTATAGTTTAGGTTTAAATGTAAAACTTGAAACGATTATTCAAACTCTTTATAGTAAAATTAGAACGTGTATCGAGAATTATTAGCAGTTTTATGAGAAACAATGATACAGGAAATCATAAGGGAAAGGGCAGTTCTAGTGATGGCTTAGGTTGGGCATAAAATAAGTGAAGCCAGAGGGACCTAAAGGCTCTCGCCCTGCTGCCCAGCCTCTGGAGCAGCTTTTTTATCTGGTCAGGAGAGTTCTCTGTGCCCATGTGCTTGTGCACATAGTGAGCCTGCTGCAAATGTCTACTCAGTGCTTTAAAGTGTTTCATTATTTTTCCTTTCTTGTTACACCTTTCTTTCTATTTCATTTAATGGCCCCACCATCTTCCCAGTGGCGTAGGCTAGAGATCGGAGGCTGCACTGCCAGTGCTGCAGTGAGCAGACTTTGGGAAATGCCGTGCAAAGATGTAATTGTTTTATTTGAGCTGGTTTTCCTTCTTCCAACAAATGCAGTGCCTACCTGACCTGAGCATTGAGTTCCCTATGTACTACTATATTGATTGGGTTCTTCAGAGCATGAGTTTTCAGGACTTGCACTAGTCTTCCAGCCTGACAGACTGGGCTTTGGGTTGACCTCTCTGCCTTGCAGTGCAGTAGACACGTGTGTCCATGAGAAGTGTTCCTGGGTAAGAAAAGGAACTGTTCTGGGTAGGAGTCTGCCTCCCAGTGGTGTCATCAGATGCTATACTGGATACATGTTTGGTAATAGCCGTAGCATATTGGAATAGTTCCATTAACATCACATCACATTCTAGAATGTTTTACAGTGTGGTAAGATTAACAATTGATATGTGGAAGGCACTGTGTCTGTTGGAAATAATCAAAATCTCGCGCAGGCTGCATGACACAATGCATACTGGATTTTAATGTTACTTTACAAGGTACACCACAGTCTGCAAAGGGTAGCCTCCATGTGGGGAATGTTCTTCACTTCTTTAGATACGTTGGTTTCAGTTCATATAATAGCATTGCACACAGTTCACCTTTAGGTGTAATAATAGAGAAAGTAACTGTCCTTGGGGGATTCTTTTTAAAATAAGGAAACAACACAAACAAAAAAAAAATCAGTGCTCAGGAGCCAAAGGATTCAAATTGATCTCTTGGTGGCTTTACATGTAAACTAGCTGGTAGGTGTAATAGGAACTTTTTGTTGTTGTACAGGTCCCTCCCCTACCTGACCCAACCCCAAGGAAGGGGTGTTTTGTCAAAACAATGAAGGATTAGACTAGGCCCTCACCCTCCCACTAACTTGCACACAATTAATTGACTTCTCTCCGGGGCTGTTTTTTTCTGCTTATAAAAAGACTTCTGAGGTAAAATATATCTACGGTAGTTCTCTGTAATGGAACATGATTCTTTTGGTATTGCGATTTTTTTTCTTGAAATACATGCCTTGAAAAAAAGTTGGCCTTTTATGATAGACTTGGAGAAATTTTCACTTACGCACTAAAAATGAATTATAATGCATGTGTTCTTTTCTTAACTTCAAAATTTATAACTTTGTTGTATTAGTTATAAGCTGACATTGATGCTTGGTGTCTGTTGAAGGACACAGTGGATTCTGAAACTCAACCTAGTGTCAGAAATATGAAAAAATGCACATCTTAGAATGGATGGAATACCTAGATTGTTCTCAGCTGGGAGGAAGGGCTTCTGAAGTATACTTTTATATGGAAGGTTAATTCTTGGTGTTGTTTATACTTTTTGAATCACTAAATTACACTAAAATTACACTAACTAGAGAAGCCATAACATACAGCAATGGTTAAGTCTCTCAGTTTGTCATCATGAGTTTCTTTTAATTGTCGGAAAAACCTGTGCCCTACTCTTGGGCATAAAAGTAAGCTAGTAATGTCAGATTTAATTGACAGGTGTTTTCAGGCAGGCAAAATATTAATTTGCTTTTTATTGTAATTTTGTTTTAATTTCTACCTTCTGAAAGTCTCCATTTTAGCTACCCTGAGAGTAGAATATAAATACAGGCTGTTTTTTTTTAATCCCCAAATTAAATACAGTTTTATAGTTATTTTAGGAAATTATTTATTCAGCACAGAAATAAAATGTCAGCTTTGTTAATTAGAAGACTTTAATGTTTTATTTTTCAAAGAGAAAAATGAATAATTATTGATACTTTCATAGTTTATATAACTATTCTTAACTAATGGGATATTTACTGACTTTTTTTTCTAAATAGGACAAGAGTATCAAAGAATTGAGTTCGGCGTTAATGAAGTGATTGAACCCAGTGACACGTTGCAGAGAGCTCCCAACTACAGTATTTCAAGCACATTGAATCCTCAGGCCCCTGAATTTTTTCTTAGTTGCACAGCTTCCAAAAACACCCCTGATGATGTAGACAAAGAAGCGAACTGCAGCTCCGTTGACTGCCAGTACCCAGGCTCTTCCCTTGATCTGGACGGCAGTCCCAATGCGGAGGTGGAAATTTTGGAAAATGATGGCGTCTCAGGTGGTCTTGGACAAAGGGAGCGTAAAAAGAAGAAAAAACGTCCCCCTGGATATTATAGTTACTTGAAAGATGGCAGCGAGGGTAGTATTTCTACAGAAGCCCTGGTCAATGGCCATGCCAATCCCGTAGTCCTGAACAGTGTGGGCACAGAGGATGTAGAGTTGACGGGCGATATGCCCTTGCTGGGGACACCCAGGACTTGTAGCAGCCCTCAGGACTCCACAGACTTCGTCAGTGACGATGTGCCTGGTGGCTCTTTCCCCCGAGCCCTGGACAGCAACGCTAGGACTGCAGGGCAGCCCGAGGGCTGCCAGGGGCCTGACTTTGAACAGTCCTGCCTCCCTGCAGAGGCTGGCAGGGACAGCCTGTTGAGGACAGCTGTGGCTCACCCTTATGTTGGGACTGATACTACTGAAAACCTTGGAGTTGCTAATGGACAGATACTTGAATCCTTGTGTGAGGGCTCAGCTGCCAATGGGGTGGAGCTGCACACTGTGGAAAGCACGGACTCGGACCCAGCTAAAGCCGAGAGCACTTCCCCTCCTGCCGATGCCCTGGCCTCTGTGGCTGGCTCCACTCCCGTCAGTCAGCCTAAGTCATGGGCCAGTCTTTTCCATGATTCTAAGCCCTCTTCCTCCTCGCCCGTGGCTTCTGTGGAAACTAAGTATTCCCCTCCTGCCACGTCTCCCCTGGTCTCTGAAAAGCAGGCTGAAGTCAAGGAAGGGCTTGTTCCAGTTTCAGAGGATCCCGTAGCCATAAAGATTGCAGGTATAGTTCAAAAGATACAGGTCAAAAGTGAAGAGGGGAGCAGATCTCATCGCCTGTTGAGTGAGAAGTTTGAGACAGTCTGGGCTTATAAACTGTGGTGATAGATTATTACCCAGAGCAATAGTAGATTACCTGTGTGTTAATAGAAACTTCTGAAGATGCCTGTGCCTTAAATGTCCTAAAAGCAAAATAATATATAAGCAGAATGGGAGGGGGTTGTCATGCCTCTGTGTCAAGTGCAAATTTTATGTCTGTTACCAGTTCTTTTTTATTGACAAACAACATTTCTATTTCTTGCATTTTGATCAGTTCTGCTCCATTGTGACTGTATAATGGACTTGTCCTGTGTGTTACACCCATTGTGCAACTTTGGTGTGATAATCCCTGATTTGACCTCACTCTGCACTGTTTCTTTTCTATATTTCTTAAGATATAAGAAAGAATTTGGGGTTTTTCTTTTTAATGCCTGTTTTGGATTGAGTAAATGGATTTACTTAGTTTTAGCACATCAAGGTCAGCTCTTGGCACAAAAAGAAAAACTGTAACAGTTTGACTCACATGTTTTATTTTGAAGTGCTAAATTCAAAAGTAGAACTAATTCACAAAAATATAAAGCTGCATAATTTGCAGTTGTTTTTTAAATTGAAGTAGAAAGTCAGAAATATAGAAGAGCATGTATGTTTATATGTATCTAAGAAGTCAGCCATTTCTTCAGGCTTCATTGTACAAGTTTAGCAACCTACTCCTCAGATTCTTACCCCATTAGCTGAGTTAAAATAAGCTGTCTGTAGGCTTTATGTGACATTTTCTGATTTAACATTTTGGAACACCTGACAGCATTACCAGGATGAGGGCAAATGCAGTAGCAAGCTGTAAAATCCATAACCTTTTATGAATGGTCAGAATTCTGTCAACTGTAAACATTCTTTTTTATGAATGGTCAGAATTCCATAAAATATAAAACATTCTTTTGATGGCAATAAGATGATGGCAAGCAATCTTTTTTTTTTTAAGTGAGCATTTTATTCCATATATAAAATACATTATTTTGAATACTTTTGGTGCCTGGAGTTCTCTTAAAATGAGAAGGTAATTGGTAGGCCAATCATCTTGGGCTTCGTACCTATTTTTAAGAGCCAGGTGATTTTTTTATTATGACTTCTGGAATATATTCATTGCAAGGAATGCTGTTACAGTCAGGATAAGACAGTTATAAGTCTCTGTATAAATCATTAAGTTAAAAGCTTATTTTAACCTATGAGAGATGATGCATGGTGGGATGCTTTCAAAAATGTACAGTCTGAGTTGAAAGTCTTGAAAGTAATGTAATTAAACCTTTGTTCCTAAAAATTACTTCACAAAGGAAAACCTCTATTCCTGGGAAATTCTCTCAATCTTTATTTACAATAAGAAAGTTTCATTTTAAATGTTTTAAAACATTCTAGCTATATGACTTTAAATATGGTTTGATACATGGTTTGAACATAGTTTGCTTTGTTGCACCTGTGTTAAAGTCTAGTTAACCCGCTTGATCTGGTGTTAACCTGTTTTGTGAAACACGTTGAACGTGGGGGATCTTAGTCACTGGTGCTAGTGGAGAGCATGGCCCCAGTCCAAGTCATTAGTTTTGCATTGATGTAGTGTGTTCCCTCATCCTCCCCACACGTTTATTTTCTTAATCCTATTTTGAGTAGGCCAGTTACAAAGATGAGTAAATGATCTGAGCAAAAGTTTAGTTCCTCATAAAATACTTTATTCTTTTGGGACTGTTTGTGGAGCATTAGAAGTACAGGATGTAGTTGCTGACTGTTTTCATATCACTTTCTGTAAGCTAATGCAGTGAGAGTAGTCACACGGAACAACGCTTGGAATCATATGGAGTTTAGGTAAAGTATTGTTTGGAATTCTTTTCTCTTTGTCAAATTCTCCATATTTTTATGATTTGCTTCATAAAAATGATAAAGATATATTCAATTTATTATGTCAGATCTACTACCACAAACTGCCCTTCAGTGGGCATACTTTTTGGCATAGGCCCACTTATTTTAAACAGCATGTCACTGAAATTCTAGCTCCATTAAAAGATACCGATTTTGGTTATTGTAGCATTTGCTCTTCATCAGCGTCTCACTGGTTCTACTGAGAGAGCAGTTTTTTGTTTATCATTACACTTACTAGCTTTTGGGGAAGAGGGAGAAGGGAGCCGTGCAGACATTGTCAGCTGTTTGGAGGTTCGAGTTTCCAGATTACCGGCCCTGCTGTCAATCTCTGCTTAAAATGCCAGCTGATCTTTGTGTAACCACAAGTGAGATACAAATTAGGACAACAAATGAACTGTGATAGAATACGAATCACATATAAGGCATTTTGAAGTGAAATATGACCAGCTCTTGATTGCTTGTAAACTGTTTACACATTGCATTAGTGATTTCTGCTGTCAACTTCTTGGTGGCAGGGCCATCTTCACAGTGTATATTATTCGTCAACATTGTGTTCTATTGGGTGTTTCTTCTTAAGTATAAACTCTGTTTAAGAAGGAGATAGAAGCCCTGGCCAGGTGGGTCAGTTGGTTGAAGTGTTGTCCTGTACACCAAAAGGTTGCAGGTTCGATCCCCATTCGGGGCACATGCCTAGGTTGTGGGTTTGGTCCCTGTTAGGGTGTGTACGGCAACTGATCCATGTTTCTCTCACAACAGCATTTCTCTCTCTCTTTCTCTTTCCCTAAAAGTCAATTTTAAAAAAATATCTTCAGGTGAGGTTTTAAAAAAGAAAAGAGCAATGGAAGGGTAGAATACTTGAGAGGAAATCCCATTAATGGAGAGAACAACACAATCGTTACAAGTTGGATCTACTCAGGAAAATGAATTCCTGTGCCTGTATTTAGTTGAAATGTGAACAAAAATTTAGCTTATTGTTGATCTTTGTTTTGGGGGTTTATAAATCATATTTATACTCCCTCCTCCAGCTTGGGAAATGATTTCTCAATTTTGCATTTTCTCTTCAAATTCTCCAAAGTAGTGATAACGTAGCATGCCCTAAGCTAAAAAGAGGTGTAGTACCTGTTGGCAAGAATCCACCCTTGTGGATTGAGAGTTCAATCCATATCTGATTCAATATGTATATGTCCTTGCTGGTATTTATAACATGTCTCTTTTTATAGAACTAAACTGAAAGCCCCTCACTCAATAAAACATAAGCTGGTCTGTAATCAGTGAATAATGGTACATTTGGGTTGCTTTGCTGTCCTCCACATGATGAGGTAACCAAAATAGTATGTTCTTCCAAAGTGATGTAATGAGGAAAAGAAAAACAGTTGGAGAATGTTCTGGACCATTAGGAAGATGACAGAGAAGCAGGTCAACGCGACATATCAGAATGTCAGTCATGGACCAACTGTTGAGCCTTAAGAATTGATGAAAGTTCTGCAACTTGCATTTTCATGGGTTTTTAAATGGTATTATGACCTCTAAATCCTAATTTTAGGAAAACAAAATTTGATGTGTAAAATGTGTATAGGAATAAGCATAGCTTACATCAACTTAAAAATTTACAGTGCTATCATTGCCATTGAGTTTATAAATCATTTCATTTGAATAGTATGTTGTAACATGGTAACTACTGTGTATATCTTAAAATACAAAAAAGAATATTAACCACTTAATTTTTGTTATGTGAGATTTCATGGAGTTAAACTTTCATCCAGCCATTTAGTGTTTGAGCTATTACAAGAATGAAGCCATCAGTTTCAATTTCTCATCTTTTATGTGGTATGGAGTCTTTCTGGCATTTTGTATCACCCCAATAACATTGTTTTGGGGAGACCCACCAAATCCTGGGGGAGGAAAGGTGGATTGGGGAAGCCATCTTCCTGAAGTTGCTCTCTGAATGGATCTAAGTAGTAAATCACATCAACAGTGATGAATTGAAACGGGAAAAGTTTGTTATTACAGTAAACTTGTGATTGTTTGCCCTAAAAGAAGGGTAAATAAATTACCAACAGTGCTGACTTTTGACCACATGTCAGATTTAAAGTTTCAACCTCAGGGAGTAACCCTGCCTTCTCTCCTTTATGGCTATCCTTTCTGGTTTTGATTCTTTTCACTTCTGTAATTATAGTGCTTATTGAACCTTAGGCTCGGAATAAAATAGTCATGGAAATGGTGATATTGTTATAAACAGAACTTAATTAAAGACAGCCAAGAGTTACATGAAAAAGTTAAAAGCAGTATTCATACTGGCTTGTCTGCAAGTCACAAATAATTGACTTTCAGATTACAGCAGCAGGATTCATTCATTTTAACAGGATTCAGTAATAGTGACAGATGACTGCAGGAATGACAGTGATCTCGGCACCTGTGCTGCTTTCCTCGGAGGGAGAAGAGCAGCAGTGTGCCAACGGACCTCATCAGAAGTCGGTGTCCGGCCCAGAGTCAGCTTGTGATTATTGGGGGGAAAAGGCTCACTGTACATTATGTTACAAAAACAAACCTTTAAATTGTCTGAATTTGGTTTTAAGAGAAAATCCTAGACAGTAAGATAATTAATTTCTTATGATCTTTCAGTCCTTTTGAAGTGGGGCTTTTTAATATTTACTGACAAAATTTAATTTTAAGGAATTAACATTTCTTGGAGTACTGAAAATTGTTGGTTCTCTAAAACTCTTCCATAAATTAGTATTAGCTCTTTGTTTTCTAACAAGGATTGTGGGGTGTCTGCAAGGAGCTTTCTGTGCCTGTGTTACAGTGTCACACAGCGGCCTCCCCAGAGCTGACCGCGGTACAGTCTCTGGTGCAGGTAAGGGGCAGCCATCTGCTCCAGGGCACGAAACGAATGAAGTGGCAGAGCCAGGGTGTGAAACCGAGTGTCTGGTTTGTCTTCCTGGACTCTTGCCCTTGTCTGCTTTTCCACAGGGGCGCGTCTGGAGGCTTTCTGAACTATGTGCTAGAATGACCTTTAAAGTTCACTGGGTCATTTCTGTCTAATTGGAATGCAGTCCTTTAGCATAAGCAACAGCTTTGGGATCCAGATGTTCAGTTCATCCCGTGTCACTGTCTGATACGCACTTAGTGTGTGCCATTCACTATCTAGGTCAGTGAGTAACACTTGGCCTTGCCTTGAGGACTGTTTATGGAATAAGATAGGAAAGGAACAGATGGCAGCTCTCAGCAGAAAGAGAGAAGTAATCATTTGCGGAGGGGTGTGGAGAAAGGAGGCGAGGAAGAGACTTGTGCAGCCAGTAGGGACGGCGTTATCTGGCTAGGGACAGGCTGTGAAGACCTGTTACCGGGGGAGGGGAAGACTCAGCTGAGAAGTCAGCAGTGTGAGGGTGTGAGGGTGTCGTCTGTAAAGAGCTCCCTGTCTGGGGAAGGAGCTGCGCACCCAATACAAGGCAGATTGTGATGGCGTCTTGCTATGGAGATACACTGTGTGCACCTCCTAGATGTCTTCAGGGGAGACTGTTTCCAGTCGTTAGTCTTACTTTGAGGGTAGTGATTCTGCATTTTAGCTTATGGAAGACTTGCCACAGCAGACAAGATTTTTCTAGAATAACAGCATAATCATTAAGGAAATAAGATTGTTCAGTGTTTCTATTTCCTAAGTCTGAAAAGACTTACTAATCTACATTTGTAAATATTGTACCAGAAGGCCATTTCAAAGAATGTTAAAGACTTGAAAAGAAGTTAGTTTTGTACAATCGCCAATAAATCTTCTGTTTCTACATTACATTTCAGAGTTTTTGCCTTTTTAATTTTGTAGACATGTCTACTTGGAATGTTCTTTACATGCAGTTACTGAACAAACCACTAGGTGATGCTGAGAGACTTCATATTGTGTAAAACCAACAGTGAAACTGCCTTTTTTTTTTTTTTTTACCTGCCAGCTCCTTGAAAATAAGCAAACTAACAGTAATAGCCAGAAGCTGGCATTGATTCAAGGGAAGGGTTGATGTAGAAACTAAAGGTTTCTGTCCAACCAACACAGGCTGTTTCCCAGCTGAATGTCAGAAAGAAGTCAGCTAACAGTCAATTTTAAGCTGGATTTATTCTCTTGATTCCATAAAGTTTGAGTGTTCCATCCTGCAAGCGTGCAGATTATTCTGGGCATGTAGCTTAGTTACGAACATTAAAGTAGATGCTTTTCATTGGAGCTTAGAGCAGTTAATTCTTGATGTTTTTGCACCTGCTTCCCCTTTGAGAGTGGAGTTAGCCTTGACATAAATGATTTTTAATAAGATATGAATTTAAAGTACTATTGATCATCTATAAACTTTCCTTTTCTTTCTTTTTTTTTTTTAGTCAGTTAAAACAGTTAACATGGAAGGGATGTTTTAGATAGATCTTGTATATCTGTTCCTGGCCATTTTCTTTCCATTTCCTCCAGTGTCTGTATTGAACAGGAATTAATGTCATTAAGACCCTTCCACACCTCCCCCTTGGGCCTTTACCCCAAACCTGCCCCAGAAGCCTTGGCCTCCTGTGCCCTCGAGACCCTGGAACCTGCTTCCGCCCCCACTACCAATTCATCCTGCCCCGTGCATCTGGACCACTGTTGCAGAGTCCTCTCAGCCTGTCTCTCAGGTGTGCTGCTGTGTGTGTTGCCAGAACGCAGTCTCAGCCCCAGATTGCAGGGGCCCGTGTCGATGTTATGTATAGCTATGTTACTTGCAGGTCTGTGAGTGTAAGTATACTGTTGACTGGTGTCAACCTGTTGCCCCTTATCAGCACCTCTGAAAAGTAAACACATTATCTCATCACCCGCACAAAACAAAAGATAACCCACTCTTCCTGTTGTAGTTCTTCTCTGGGTAGAAGGCACCATTACTCCAGCTGGAGACGTTCTTCTGGTATCAGCTGCCGTCTGTTGTCATCAGCCCCTGGCTGCCTGAGGGTTTCTCCAGTCCTTGGATTGGGCCGAGCATCCCTTCCGCTGACCTTTCAGCTTCGCTTGCCCTGTGATGTCCCTTCTTCACTGTCTGAAAGCTCTCCTGCAGTGGGGCCACCTCTTAGTCTTCTCTGTGCCTCGGGGAGCTGGTGCCTAGGCAGGGCTCTACCAATGGCAGCACGGAGTATAATAGAGGTCGTGGTGTTGGAAGACAGTTGATTTTGAGGTTTACATTCCTGTAAAAACTTAATAGGTTCTAGATGTAAAAATAATCTCTGGCAAAGCGTTGGAGGTATCATGGCTGGGTATTCACTTGGGATTGGTGTGTGTTTGAAAATGCATTTTTTTGTAGTGTTTATATCAAATAACTGTGGCGCACATTGGAAATTAGGGACTGTTGTGATAACGTGACTCAAAGATATGTAAAAATGCACTGTAAGTAGAAGATCTTAAACCTGTGGAGCAAAGTTAGCATCTGAAGTCTTAGAGTAAAAGGATTTTAAAATGGAACCTGTTGTCTACTGAGAAGAAAGAGCCTAGCCTCTGGAGTCAGGTCGACCCAGGTTCGCGTGTCAGCTCAGTTATGTGACCTGTATCAATTACCTATCCCTTTGGACTTCATTTTCACACCTGTAAAACGGGAGTGGTACTGGGGTCTGTCTGACAGGGTTGTGAGGATGATCATGAGTAATACAGACAAAGCTCCTAGCACGGTGTCTGCCACATGACCAGTACTGTCTGTGCTGGACATGGTCTCATGGAGCTTGCGGTGAGCCCTGTAAATGGTCTGGTACTCATTGAAGGCTGGGTACCGTTCCCTGTAGCATGAGCAGTCAGAGGAGTTTTGCAAGCTCAGTCTAATTGAACAGATCCCATTGAGCCTGTAATGTTTTACTTATAAGTGGGAAAATTATGCCCCGTGCCTCCTCAATTAGGGGAGAGAGGGCATTTACTCTTGACAGGAGGGAGTGAGTGAATGAGTGTGTGTTGACATTAGAATTTTGCAAATTAATTCCTTCGTTTAATGCTTAAGCCTGGGACCTGCCAGTCCAACTGCACTTTAGAAAAGGCTTCTTTTGTGTGACTGATAACTTCGATGGACGCTACCATCAAACGTATGCTCACCATGTGCTTCTTTCCTCGCGCACAGTTTAGAGTAAGGGAGGCTGTTGGCCCCACACAGAGCATGCATTTCAGGTGCTGGCTGTGCAACCTTGCTCCTGTGTAATCACAGGCAGCTCTTTAACCTGTGCGAGCCTCAGTTTCCATACTGGGGGAAGGGGGCATGGTGGTACTCCTGGGTTGCTGAGGGTTAAATATGGCCAGTTAACATCTGTACATTGTAAAGCGCTCGCTAAGTGTAGAAGGTGTCCATAAATTGTAGCTGTCACTGTTACAAGTCTCATAACAGGACATTTCTGGAAAAAAATACTTAAAGCACTTATTTTTAAGTCACTGAAGCATTGTATAAAGATGGCATTTACAGCTATCTTACGACTGCGAAGAAGAGTGATGTCCAAGGGTGATTCTGAGCATAGGAAGCTTGTTTTTAACTGGAATTAAGGAATCCCAGTGTCCAAAACAGCCCCTAAACTCGACTCCTGATGAAAAATCCAATTTAGCTGGTAGGAGCTAGTGGTCCCAAAAAGGAGTGTCACCCACTGAACAGTCATCGAGCACCCACGGTGATGTTTTGGGTACCGAAGTAGGTGCTGGGCATTCAGACATGAGAGAGGGTCAGGTTTTGCGTGGAAACATCTATATAGCAAGGGTCTCGGGGGCCACGCTGTTACCGAGGCCTGCCCTGCTGCCAGTGTTTGAGGGAAAAGTCTGTATCTCTTAAATCTGTTCTCTGGTACTGACATTACTGTTTCTAAGCTTTTCTGTTTCTTATTCGTGCTCCCTAGGTATATTCCCACAAGAAGACAAATAAATATTGGTGCTTGAGGGGAAATAAGTTTTTAAAAATTTCAATCATTGCCCTGGCCAGGAGGTTCAATTGGTTGGAGCATTGTCCCATACACCAAAAAGTTGAGGGTTCAATTCAGGGCACATGCCTAGGTTATAGGTATGTCAGGGCACATACCTGGGTTACAGGTTTGATCCCTGGTCAGGGTGTGTATGGCAGGCGACCTATTGATGTTTCTCTCCCCCCACTTCCTCTTTCTCTGGAATCAGTGGAAACATATCCTCAGTTGAGGATAAGAAGATTTAATTCTTAAATAACGTACATAATGTTGAATAGAATGAAGCTTTAACATTGTATGCCTTTTTCTTTGGATATGTGCTATATTGGCAGGGCTTGGAACACTCAGAAAAAAGTGGAAAAATGATGTTATTCACTAGATGTTATTAACTTCTTAAATATGCTTCTTTACTCTTCCAGAGTTACTGGAGAATGTAACACTAATACATAAACCGGTATCGCTGCAACCCCGCGGACTGATCAACAAAGGAAACTGGTGCTACATTAATGCCGTATCCTTAGACGCCGTCCCCACGGCCGGGCTCACTGCAGCTTTCGTGGGCCATCTCCCCTCAGTTTTGGTTCCAGAATCTTGGTTCCTTACATAGTCTGCCTACCTTGCTTATAACAGTGTTATTGCCAATGTCCTCACCCCCAAAAAGAAAATTTGCTGACCTGGTAATGGCAGAATCAGGCGAGTTTTAATCTTAGTGGAGTGGTCCCGAATAATAGGGCAGTGACCATTTACAACGGGAAATTATGTTTTCCTTGATTTGATTATCTTGACAGAATCCTGTTCTTGTCTGTAAACTGCTGATTGCAGAGTAAACCCTTATGTGGGTATCAGAAGGCAGTCACCCCTTGGTTTAAATTGGTTTATTTGGTTCATTCCCTTTTGCGCTTACATAGCTAAGTTGTTCAGTGTCCTTGGCTTGCTTCGTTTTGTATGCTCTCGTGCTTGATGTGCCTTTTGGAAATTTGCGCGCCCGTTTGATTTCCTTTACACTGCCTTCTTGCCAATGTGCAGACACTGCAGGCACTGGTTGCTTGCCCTCCGATGTATCACCTGATGAAGTTCATTCCTCTGTATTCAAAAGTGCAAAGACCTTGTACGTCCACGCCCATGATAGACAGCTTGTAAGTAAGGTGCTTAAAAGTGTGGTGAGGGAGCGGGTTTCCCCCTCCAATCATTGGAACTCACATAGCTTAGTAGAGTTCTTCATTTCCTGCAAGTGAGTTCTATAGTACTATTTTTTTAATTTAGTATTTATGATTTTGTATAGAAGTTAACTAGAAATGCAGTTGAAACATTGTTTATTTTCTTAGATCCAGGGAATTAAATTTCAGTGTTTACCAGTTTATCACTTACAATTTACCAAAATTTTATGTAGAAAAGATTTAGGAACTCACTAGCTATTATGGCATTGGTTGCCTAAAATCTGCTGTCTTCATATTAATTAATATTTTACTTAGCCATCAAAGCTTTTTAGTAAAAGCATGTTTTTGAAACAGTGCATGACTAACCATTTCTTCTCCCACGTTTAGTGTTCGGCTAATGAATGAGTTTACTAATATGCCAGTACCTCCAAAACCCAGACAAGGTGAGTGGAAGTGAGGTCTTCTGATGTTAGTACGTATTGTGAGTTGGGAGGTCAAATGACTGAATTTGATAAATTCAGCCTCATTGGGGGAAAAAAATTTTTTTTAATGTAGGTCACTATATCTATGCTATTTTCAACAATGGGTGGGCATGGGAGGGAGTTTGGATGACTTTAATTTTTGTCATCTTCAGACTTCCTTTTTGTTAAAAAAAAATCTGTGTCCTCTTTCCACTGCAGCTCTTGGGGATAAAATCGTGAGGGATATCCGCCCTGGAGCTGCCTTTGAACCCACATATATTTATAGACTCCTGACAGTCATCAAGTCGAGCCTGTCTGAAAAGGTTTGGGACTTCTCTGTCGTAGCCAGTAGAAAGTGTTGCCTTTTGTTCCATTTTGTGCCTTACCTTTGCTCACTCAGTGCTTGCTCTCTGCTTTAAGTGCTGTGGTTGGTGATATGTTTGGTAGATTTAGGCTTGTTGTACAGTCAGGAGCTTGGATGAATTTGAAGAGGATGGTGGTAATCATCATAATCAGAGCCAACTCCCATATCATTTAGTGTGCACCAAGTACTGTTATAAGTTCTTTTATGTATTGACTTAACCCTGTGAGTAAAGTGGGATTAGTCTCTCCTTGTTACATTTGAGAAAAGTGAAGTCCTTGTTCAAGGTCACACAGCTAATGAATGGCAGAGCATGGCTTCAGAGTCAGCTCCTTAACCACTGTACTGTACTGCCTTTGAGGCAGAGTGGGGCGATTGGGCCGGGGGTAGTGGCTGCGATCAGGAGGGGTTCTGCTGTCATCATACTCACAGGCTTTAGCTGCTCCTCAGGCGCCTGAGCCGAAGGGGACATCTGGGGCTGCTACTTTCACGGCCCTGGTACTAGTGAGAACCCTGGGGCTGTGCAGCGAGGTGGCCCTCCTCAGCCACGGCTTGGTCTTCTGTTTCATTTAACAGAAAAAACCAGCTCTGAAATAACTTTCTTATAAAGAGAATGTATATTTATTGTAAAAGATTTCAGAAATACAGAAAAGCATAATCAAGATTGTTATTAGTTCTGTCACTTGAAGATAAGTGTTTAGTGTACCCCTCCTTCCTTTCATCCTCTCCCTCCCCAAGTCTCAGCTGCCCAAAGAAAAACTCAGCATGTTTTGGGGGGAAACACTTTATATGAAGAGGTGTTGACAATTTAAGAGGCACATAGCTTGAATATGCGGGTGTCACATTCCTCGCTGGTCTTAGATAGTAAGTGCTTAACATTAATGTGATTGCGTTTGACCTTTTCAGGGTCGACAAGAAGATGCTGAGGAATACTTGGGCTTTATTCTAAACGGGCTTCATGAGGAAATGTTGAACCTCAAGAAACTTCTCTCGCCGAATAATGAAAGTAGGTTATGCTGTATTTGCTACAAAAATGTGTGAGAACACTTTCTTAATTATTTTTAAATAAATGTTATATACTCATATATTAAATTGCTTCTCTTCCCTCGAGCCCCCCCCCCTCCCCCCCGGTCATTTGCCCTTCAAAATCCCTTACTCGTTAAGATAACTGGTTATTTTTACATTGTGCTTCATGTACCACTGAGAATGTTTTATTTGGGCAAATCTGATAAGTTTATCCATATATGTGTATTTGGATAAATTGGATATATTTGAAAAAATCTCTTGTTTTTTTTCTTTCAATTTTTAATTAGCAAAGTGATCAAACTGAAAAAACAGTTTAGTGACTGCCTCTGTCACTGCTGGATTCTGAGGTTGTTGACGTGTCGTCATTCTCTCCACATGCGCACAGAGCGTGTGTGCGTGTTTTTCCTGAATGCCTCAACATTAAGTTGCAGATAGCAGTTGAGTTCACTGCTAAGTGCTAAAGCGTACATCTCCTGAGGATAAGAGAATTTTTCTACATGTCTGGCATCCTTAGCAAATTTAGAAAAGTAACTGTAACTACACAATATCTACTTTCTAGTCCGCCTTCAAGTTTCCCCGCTTGTCCCGAGAATGCTTGTAAAGCTGTGTGAGCGAGCAGGGGTGCGGTAGTTGCACACACTGTTTGCTCTCGCTGTAGAACACACCCTGGTTTTGTCTTCGAACTATAAGTGACCGGTCTGTGTAGGTAATGCGTGTAGAACTTTCTCTTTTTTTAACTTTAATATTTTAATTTTTTGCTGTTCTTGTTGTAAATAGTAACCTAAGCAGACTGTCTGCTTTTCAGAGCTTACTGTTTCCAATGGACCCAAAAGCCACTTGGAGAACGAGGAAGAGCAGGAGGAACCAGGCGAAGGAAGCGAGGACGAGTGGGAGCAAGTGGGCCCCAGAAATAAGACTTCAGTCACGCGCCAGGCGGACTTCATTCAGACTCCAATCACCGGCATTTTCGGGGGACACATCAGGTTTATGCTTTTCTGGAATAATTTCGTATTTGCCTTTCTCAGGGTTTTGAAATTTTGCGAAAGGGGGAGGATGTAAGACTTGTCCTAAAAATTTTGGCTTGGTGGTTTACCTTTGCACCTCCGTGCCCTCTCTTTTCTGGGACTCCCAGTCCTTCCCTTGCCAGTCCCCACTGCTTTCACACCACGCGCCGTGGCCTCTCTATGGAGGGTGGGGGGCGCTGTCCCCAGGGGCCTGGCTGCCACTGTGAGTTCCGCACTTCCCCGTCAGCACTGACATTCCCTTAGTTCTGCTGTTCGCAGAACCTACTCGCAGGTAAGGAGGGAAAGACAAGTTAATTGAAACACATGTTTTGTTATGAGAAGAAATTTAGGTATCTGACTGGAAGGATTTTAGGCACTAGGACCAAGTCAGAAAGTTAAGGGAATGTAGGAGAGAGACTTTGGCCCAGAGGAAGTCATGCCACCTAGGCTGGAGTACCTGGCACCTCCTCTGCCCCAGTTCCCTTAGCCCAGCTGCTTTTCATGCACTCACCAAGGTTTATTTATTTATATTAGAGCCATTTGGTGCCACTGGGGTGTGGAATTCACTAAGACTCATGCCATCTCCAGGGAGGTTTACTCCCCCAGTGTGAAAGAACCTCAGTACAGCACGTTTCCTCTCTGAAGGCCTCTCAGCAGAGCCTCCCACGCTTCAGTGAGACCTCAGCCTCCCGCTGTCCCGAGTGCTGTGTATCCACAGGAACTAACACCCTTTCAAGGCATCGAGAGTTAGTTCCATTCTTCCCTGCTCTGAAACAATGGGTTGAACACCTCTCAAAAGGCTAATGAAAACCTCAGGAAATCTGCTCGGACTGCCTCACAAGCTAGTCAGTGATGCTGTAGGACTGGATTTAGAAGCCAGTCGTGCCACCATGTGACCTTGAACAAGTCATCGTGTGCCCTCCGTTGTGAGTTACTCCCAGGGCCCCTCTCTGTTCTGGAGTCTCTGTGTCAGCCTGTGGTCAGTGGTGCTCTGGGAATGCTCAGCCTCCAATCTCTGCTGTTGTGACTTGTTTTTGCCAGGTATGGCTCCTTGGGTCAGGCCGAGCTGGGAGCAGGAAGCAGCGAGAGGAGGCTGAATGTGCTCTGAGCTCTCCTCAGACCAGCAGGCTGATGTTAGCGTTCTCGGGCACCCAGGGATGGGAGGGGGTGATGAGGGAACAGAACAAGTGGATGCAGTGAGAGCACCATACTTTTGCCCAGTTGCAGTATCAGCATTGCAATGCCACTGATGGTCAGCATGCCCAAAGGTACCACAGTTGTCTGAGAACGACCACTGGGAGAAGCCAGAATCCACTTTGGGACCTTTCTAACTTGGCCTGAATTGGCTCTGCCGTGGTCCCTTGTGGCCTCAGCCTCTGTGGGCTCTTTTTGTTGAGATTGTTTGTTCATAACGCCTGTTTGGAAAATGAGGCGTTAAGGAAAGAGGAGTTGCTTCTTATACTTTGGGGACTCCTTTTCTTTGTATAGTAGCTATCGTAAGTATGGTTCTTTATTCAGACCAGTTGAACGGTTTTCTTCCAAAATTCTTCCTCTGCTGGTGGCTTTTCAGTTTCCCCAGAAAAACCAGAACCTTTCTCCACCTTTTCCCCCTGGGACACTTTTGATAAAATCAGGCCCTTTGAGCCACGAGGACCACTTCATGATTTCTTCACCAGGTTTAATTAGTGGTTTTCCCACCATTCCTCTTCGGAACCAACGGAGTAGCTGTCCGTCTCAAGTCTTGACACTTAAAAGGAGCGTGGAGATCCCTCCTAAGGTGGTGTTGGGAAAACAGCGGACGAAAGTTAAACCCTCAGCAGGAAGGCTTTTAGCTCACTCTTCGTGCATCTGCTCTGAAAAGTCTGAATATCTGGCCACACCCGTTTTATTCCGTTTATAAACTAGGTCACTTAGGCTGCAGAAATAGAATCCCTTGTTGAACTCTTGGAACGTTTCCTTGCTGAGGCTAAGTGAGAGATGGGCCGAACACACAATTTTTACTCAGAAAAACTTAGAAAAAGAAAAATGAAATGAAAAACCAGCTAAGAAAACAAGGTTGAATTGGCAGCCTCCTTCTTGAGGGAGGTAGCCCTGTTTCCTGGAATGTTAACTTGTTTTTTATTATACGCACCCTGCTCCTCTTCTTTGTAAGTCATTTTTATAGAGGAAAATGCCATTAAAAATATTCTGTTTATCTTGAGGTTTCCTCTGTTTTATTAGAGCAGGCTATGATACCTTGAGAAAATGAAAAGTGTCAGCATTTTGAGACCATGGCAAGGTAGTCACATTTATTAACTGGTGCATTAAATGTGGAGTGGAGGTGGAGGAATTTGAAGGCGAAATATGTTTTCTTCAGAGCACTGAACTGGGGAATTATCAACCGCTGTACCTAGTTGTGAGAAATACTTAGGAGGTGGCATTCAGCAGAACTATTTTTAAATTCAGTATGTTTTTGGCTTTTCTGTTTTCTCTGGTCTTCTGAAAGTGGTATCAGTCTCATTTTCGGTGTTTATTCCTCTTCTCTTGTTGGGTAATCTTAAGAGAAAGTGGGAAGGAGTAGTCTCTTAAATTTTTGTTTTTGTGTTCAATTCTTAGATCTGTGGTTTACCAGCAGAGTTCAAAAGAATCTGCCACTTTGCAGCCATTTTTCACGTTGCAGTTGGATATCCAGTCTGACAAGATACGTACAGTCCAGGACGCACTGGAAAGCTTGGTGGCGAGAGAATCCGTCCAAGGTTACACCACGAAAACCAAACAAGAGGTATATTCGTGGTTGGTCTCGAACCTTTCTCCCGGGGCACTCTGGTGTGGTGGGAGGACACAGAGTCTGGAATGAGGACAAGTGGATTCGAGTTCTGCCTCTTAAATCAGTTGTTTAAATTTTTTGGACTCTTAAGTTTTCACATGTTTTGATGAAATGGTCTAAACAGATGATCATAACAGCCCCCTTTAGCTCTGAATCATGTAGCACAAGGTAATGCTCTTGCAGATTATTTATCCTGAGCTACATTTGCGTGTCTGGCAATCTAACCGTGATACCACAAAATCAGTCCTTTCAGTTCTAACAGCTCGTTTCCATTCCAGATATCATAGAGCATAGTGTCATGAGGTTAGAACAGAAAAGAGGTTCATAGCACATCTGTTTTTGCATTTGATTGTAGATCTTCAAGGATACTGAAATATTGGAAGTAATTGTTCTGGTGCCCGTTGTTCTTTGATTTGATAAAGATAAAAATCTGTCTTCAGGCATCGAGAAGCAGATGATAGCTTAGTGTGGTGTACTTGTCAGCTTAGTCAGGGAGATGGATAAGAGTCTGCTTTTCGAGAGCTTATTAGTTCCCAGCTGTCCAGATGTGCCAGCTTCCACCAGTTTCCGCCTGTACAGTTGAGGGTGTTTTCTCCATCGTATATCCTCAATCGTGGCAGGGAATTCATAAACGTGTGTTGGGAGATGAGTGCAGGCTAGTTATGGGCAGGGATTTTTTTGAACAGTTTCTAGTGTTCCTCTGAAGCTTGATTTAAATAATACGAGAGGGACCCAAAACCAACCAAAATTATCTTCTAGAGGGCGGGCCCCTTGTAGTACAGGCTTCCCTTCTAGGTGAGTGTTCCAGGAACCCATCTGTGTCTGTGTACCAGCTGGCGTTGTGTGAGGGTGTGTTGGGCTTCAGTGGAGACTTAGCGCATCTGCCCATTTCATGGTGGGTGATTTGCAAGCACACCCACCCGCACTGCGCTGATCATTCAGCAGTTTTTGACCAGAAATGGCGTAACCCCCACGCCCCACCCTCCTCTTCAGTGGATCTTATGCTCCTCGCATCCCTTTTTTGTTTCTCCGGATAAAAAAAGTTCTCAAAGGGAAATGTTTTGCCGATGTGGAAGAAGTGAAACAAAAAATGGCAGAAGCATTAAACATCCAATTGACAAATCCAGAAACTGTTTTGAGCAGTGGAAAAAAGTCTCTATTGGTGCATTGCATCAAATGGAGAGTACTTTGAAGGTGACCGAAGTTTAAACATGTAAGAATGAAGACACAGTCATACACAGCATTTTAATAAATACATTCTGGTATGTTTGGAGTCCCCCCTCGTGGTGTGTAGTGCCTGCGGGGTGAAGAATGATGTCCCAGCGCAGAGCACCCGTCAGCCCCTTGCGTGGCTGAGGTGGACGTGCCCTTGCCTTGCAGCTGGTGCCCTGAGTGAAGGACGGAAGCAGCAGGTGCTCCTCTGGGGTCTTCAGTTCATCAAGGGTCTCCTGCTTCGATTGGTCAAGCCAGCCTATTGGCGGATTTGCAGAAGTTATGCCTAACCTTCCACCATATTTTCTGATTGCTTCTCATAGGCAGTTTTGTTTAAAATATAAAGGTGGTAGGAGCCAATAACAGAAATTTGGCAGTTGGCTTCGTGAGAAAGCTAAGAAGATTTTGGTGGTGGAACTTAAAGGAAGAGAAAGATAGTGGATACTGTTGCAGGGAGCTTGGTTTGTGTGGCAGGGTTGTGAACGTGGCTGTGGGGACTGTCCAGTTGGCTTGTTCTGTGGCAGCCGTGACTCCGAAGGCAGACTCGCTCGTCCCAGCCACCATGCCACTCTCCCTGCTCTCCTCTGAGCCAGCTGTGCGGGTCTGCCTCCTCCTCCCGCTGCTGTGGCTGACCCCAGGCTGCCCCGAAAGCTCTACGTGACATGTCTGTGATTGCCTCTTTTGCTTCTGCTGCACTGACACTTGGGAGTTCGGGGAGGGGTGGAGCAGGAAGTGTGGGTTGGAATAGAGGGGATTGTTGGCCTGTTCTCAGAGTGGTAAGGAAAGAGGATTTATTCTAGATAGCCGGTTTAGAGGAAGATTCAAGAAAGAAGTGGCGTTTTGGTGGAGCCTTGAGCATGAAGAAGAACAAGGCTGACTGTCCCAGCTCTGGGACCAGGGTGCCGTGTGGCTGTCAGATAAGAGGGCGCACACTCGGCAGCTGTGCGAGGGAGGAGCGTTTGGGACAGCTTGTGATGTCTGGGAAGAGCAAAGAGCACGTTTCCTGGGGTGTGAGTTTTTTTTTTAAATTTATTTTTTAAAATACTGAATTTAATTTTATTATATTTTTAGAACAAATGTCTTTTTTTCTGTGGAACACAGGATGATGGTCCATTGGAAAATATGATTATACAAAACATTGCTATATAGAAAAGCTCTGCTTTTGTTGAGTGATAAGAAAGTGTGCCTCAGTTTGCCTGGAAATCCAATTGGAAAACACATTTAAGAATTTCAGATTAGCCACCTAGAGAAGTGCTTGAAGTTTAAGGTCAGAATCCTAGGTTACTACACTGAGAAGCACCCCAGAGATACCTTAGTCCAGCTCCCTTGACTCACAGGTGAGGAAGCCGGAGTCATCCCCCCTGGTTTTAACTCTTGAGCTGTAGTCACACTTTCATTCACTCACAAGTTCCTGTTAGACACAGAGACACTAGAATACGAAGACCCGATGGGCACACAGGTAGACAGAAGGTGGTTTTCACACCTGGGGTCTTAGTCTAGGTGGGCAGGTCTAGGCATGCAGGGGTCTGCAGACTCACCAGACCGAAGAAGTGATAACCACGGAGTTTGCTTTCCGAAAGTCTGGCCCTAGGATGCCTTCAGCCACGTACACATACAGTCTCCGATCGCTTTCCCAGCACTTTCTGCATCCTGCTATCTTTTAGATGATTGCTTTAACAAATATTCCTACCCAAAGTGTTCTCTGTGTAAATACAGGAAGCATCAAGGAGTTAATAAGTTCAGAGAGCATTAAAGGAGTTAAGTATTGTTTGTGAAGTTGTATTTTAATAAAAAGTATTCATTAGATCTGTGAAAGAGTGTATCAAATTAATGGTTAGAATGAATAGTGTTAGCGTTACTTAAAGCATCCAATTCAAGAAACACATTGGCCTCAGTTTTATCAATACTATAAGTTATTAAAAAACAAGCTAATAAATATATAACTCAAGGTACTACTGAGTTAGCATTTTTGCAGTTATGCCAGTTTGTCCTTAGTGCTGCAGAGCAGAGGTTCTTAACGTGCGCTCACAGAGGGGCTCTGGTACCCCCTGCAGTAGTGACACAGCCCGTTTCTGAGAAGACCCCTGGAGCTTTCTAAGCTGTTCCCGAGGTCCCGAGGCCCCCATGAGGGTGAGGGGCCCGCTCCCCGCCGAGGCCTGGGTGGGAGGCGGCGCAGGCTCTGCTGCCTGAGTGTGGCGCCAGCATGTCCTGTGTGCTTGCGTCTCAGGTTGAGATCAGCCGCAGAGTGACTCTGGAAAAACTGCCTCCTGTCCTCGTGCTGCACCTGAAACGCTTTGTCTATGAGAAGACCGGCGGCTGTCAGAAGCTTATCAAAAACATTGAGTATCCTGTGGACCTGGAAATTAGTAAAGGTAATAAATCCGTAAGGCAGAAGCCGTTAACGGTGACAGTGCACCTGGACGTCAGGGAGCTTGACACATTAGCGTGTCTTTAGAATGTCAGGATGAATTTTTTCATGACTTCTTTGTTGCAAATTTATTGACTCTTAATAGACCTTTTCTATTAAAATTCTCATTAAAATGGCTTCAAAAAAATAAACCATAAAATTTTACTAGATTAGAAAAATTAGTTTTATCCATTAAAATGAGTGTCATTTTTCTATAAAGAATTTATAGATTAATGGTACAAAGTAATTTTTCTCACATGACACATTAACAACGGTGTGGGCCAGCCTGGTTAAGTAGACGTCTCCCAGGGAGCTGAGACTTCCCCGCAGGCCACCGCGGGGTTCGTCGGACCTGGCTGCAGGAGCACATGGGGCAGACTAGTGGCGTGTGTCAGCCACAAGCCTCCGTCAGTTGCGCTGGGCTCAGCAGCGTCGGCGCACTCCGGCCACAGCACCAAGTGGACGTGGTCCTGCCGAAAGTACAGCTCGAAGGAAGCGTTCCTTGAAAGCTTCAGAATTTGTGAAAAACTGTATCGTGTGACACTGAAGCTTGGAACAGGTTAGATGATTTTCAAAAGATCAGGCTGTCAGGAAACAGGACAGGGGACAGATGGTGTCTCTAGGTCTCACACAGCCCCTGGGTCCCTGTCGCCTTCCTCTTCCTTCCCTCCTCACGGCACGGTGCCCACACTCCTTGCCGGTGATGTGGGAACTGGTGGGTGGCTGCCCTGTGTTTATGGTCGGCTTTTCCTACACTCCAGCGATGTTCCACGTCCTTCTGCGTAGGATTCAGACGCTGGCTCTTCAGCCCCGCTCTTGGGAGTTGCCCCCTTCGGTTAGTAGGTGGGACTCCTGCACCGGGTCATGTCCTTCCCCACTCACACCCTGGGCTGCTTCACCCACAGGCGGCGTGTTTCTCTGATCCTGTCTCAGGACCAGAACAAGGGAAAGGCTGCAGCTGAGAACCGTGCTAGGGCATTTGTCATGTTCTCAGGGCTTCCAGAAAACAGCTTGCAAACGGTCCAACAGGCATCCTTGGACCCGTTCTTGCATCTTCCCCCCATCCTCAAATTAACTATCTAGATGGACCGACCTGTCTGGTTTCTACACTGATTTTATTTGCGTAGCTTTTCTTGTTACATGTATTGCGTTTGTGTGTCATAATTTAGTTTTACTGTCTTCATTATCTGTATTTTTGTATCAGCTGCCACCTCGAGTGCTTTCTAGGGAAGGAAATGGCGGAGGTGGGGAGGAGGGAAGGAGCCGGTCGTCCCCAGCTGAGCTCCCTGGCGTCCGAGTGGTGCTTCTGCACCGGGGGCTGTGGGCGTTCGGGACCTGGCGGTAGACTAGTGCCCTGTGGGGCGGGGCGGGGGACCGTTTCACTGCCATGTGAGAGAAGGTTTGTGGTCTGACTCACATGAAAACCTTTAAATTCTTGGGTTTTCCAGGACTTTTTTTTTTTTTTCCTTTGGAGGGGGGGTGCTTCTGCTTTTAAAGGGTTTCTAGCATGAGTTTAATAGGTTCAATATATTGCCCATATTTCTTTAATGGATTGGTTGCCTGTTATGTCTGTTACTACATTGCCCAGCTAATTTCCTCATGGGTCATTTTTTATGCAGATAGAGGGATGGAGTTTTGTTACGTTTTCTGGTCCGCCAGCTGATTTCCGTGAGTGGAGACTGCTGTGACCCCTTGGCTTCTGTGATTCTGAGCCTTTCTGTTAGTGCTTTTGTAGATTGGAGCTGTTGATATTTTGTTTTTCAGAACTGCTTTCTCCAGGAGTTAAAAGTAAGAATTTTAAATGCCACAGAACCTATAGACTATTTGCAGGTAAGTAAATTTCTACACTGTTACCCTATTAAAGCAATAATAAAAGAGTTTCTACCCAGGCACAATTTTGCTGTAATACCACTTAACATAGACAGTAGATTTCACTATTGGTGTCACAGTGGACTTTTTAAGTCAGAATATCATTTGAAAATGTGTCTTTCAGCTGAAATTCGGTGCTTGAAATTTGACAGAATGTCCTCTCAGGTCTAAGCTGAACCCCACGTAAGACATCGTTGGACACGGTTGCTTCTGTCTCTGAGACAGGAGTGGGTTTCGGTTGCCAGGTGGCGATGAGAGGACATGATCTATTCTCACTGCCGTTTTGGTGTCTGTGGTACAGGGTGCTAGGGATGGCCGTGACATGGAGCCACCCAACTAGGCCGAGTCCCAAATTGGCATCCTGCCGTGTCATCTTCCATATGGCACTGCCACGTGTGCATGAGAGGGTGGCCCGCCCTCACACGCTCCTCAGTCAGTCACAGGAACACCCCATGGGGGGCGGGGGGGGGGCTCTGGCACAGCCTGTCCCCGGAGCGAGGGGCCCTAAAACCCTGTATCTCCCGCCCTGGAGCTTCCTGCAGGGCCAGCTTGTCTTCCAGGCCTTCCTTCCGGTCTTTCCCTTTCACATAGCCCGAGTCTTCTAGGCCTGGGGGGCTTCATGTCTCTTGGAATTATTGTTTGCAACAGTTGTGTTTGCTTTTGTGGCTGTTTTTGTTGGAATTTTCTAGCTTCCCTGTTAACCTTTTTGTATTGCATTTGGTGAGCCTGGTTGTGATTTAAAATAACACTGCTTGATCCTCACATGTGTATTAGCCTTTCTGTTAGATACCTTTTCTATAACTCGTTTATTCTCGACAACTGTCCTAAAAGGTAGGTGGTGGCGTCCCCATTTTATAAAAGAATAAGCTGAAACTTTCACCTAAGAGGCTCATTCACCACTGTGACCTGTGGAGCAGGGCTTTAAACTCCTCTGCCCTCAGCCCGCCCCCACGGTGTCGGACGTCGGACTGGCCCCAGGTCGGTGGTGAGGCTCTGTGCTGCACTAGCAGGCATTCTGTGCAGTTGGCTCCTTCTCCCCACCAGGCACTATTCCTTTCGACTTTCTCCTCTCCCCCAAGGCAGCTGATCAGAGCCCCACCTCAGCCTGCTGGGGCCCAGACAGGGTGGCAGTGGGCACCTTGCCCTCATGGGTGTCTCCAGCCTTTCCTCGCCCTGCCTTGGGATGGAGGCCCTGAGGCCTCAGCTGACACGCAGACTCTGCAGCCTACCCCTGCTCCCGGGGTCCAGTCTGGCTCTCTAGGGTTTGGCACCGAGGTCTCAGTGGGTGATGAAGTATTTCTTTGCCATCTACCTGCAAGCTCTTTCCCTTGGGGCCTGTGTAGGGGAAGGCTGATGGTCAAGGCCAAGGTTTAGGAATTCCTTGTCTTCTGGTCAAGCGGCCCCAGTGAGAGTGCATGTGCCACCCACCCACCCACCATGGCCCAGGATTCGCACCTGCGTCCTCTTGCCTATGTTCCTGAATCCTCATCCTGAGTCTTCTGATCTCAGAAGTAAGGTCACAGGATTAGTCAGAATTTTCTGTAACATGTAAGTAAAGAGGTACTTAGAAAAATTTCTGATTGTGGGACCAAAGAAAGAGTAAAATGGATGAGCTTTTTAAAAGAAAAAGCTCATCGTTCTCAGTTTGGTTCCTGCCAGGCGGCCGGCCAGCTGTCTGTGACATGTGGACATGGTAGTTACCAGGCTGCTGCTTAGGAAACCTGAGTGCATGTAGCGTGCTATTCTGTTCTGAATTTCTAGAGTGGAAGTATCTTAATAGAAAATACAAATCAGTTAAACCCACAGGTCCATTAAATCCTACTGACTCCGTCACTTTTAAAGAGCTCTCGCCCCAGTCAGGTAGGTCGTGGCGGGGGAGACCCAGGACGAGCACCCCAAACCGGATTCGGAGTCGGTGTCTTCCCTGCCCGGGGGCAGCCTCAGTCACTGTGGCCTGCATGTGGTTAGGCCGTGACCCTGTGTTGGTGCCGTCGTTGGTGTCTCACCTGATTGTCCTACAGTCTTGCTGTCCTGTGCGGCCCGTCGTGATTACCCCGAGGCCGGCCAGGGCGAGGGCTGTCCACAGGCGCACACTCAGGCGGCCCGGCCGGCAGCCCTTGCGTCCCCTCTGGGGCGGGTGCTGTGAGTCATCGTAGAAGACAATTCACAGAAAACCTAGAATTCTCATTTTTGCATGTAGTGTGGCCTGTTTCTATATCACAAACAATAACTTCAACGAAAATGCATTTTATTTAATATAATTCACTAGTCATTCTCTAGTGCATATTTAGGTTTTGTTCATTTTTTTCGTTGTCATAAAGTCTTTGTTTAAGACTCAGATACTCTCTTTCGAACAGTCTCGAAGTGGACATGGCTAGGTAAGGTGTCTGCATGAGTTTCAGGTGACGGTTAGTTGCTGCCGCTGTCAGTCGGACGAGTGTCGTCTGTGCTCTGGTTTCCAGGCTTGTCTCTCAAGCAGTGAGGGTTCAGATGGGTGGTGGCCCTTGTCGGCGGGCTGAGAAATGGCACGGCCCTCTTCAGCAGGCATTGGCTTTATTGTTTGTGACGTGTTGAACATTTAAATATGTTATTCAGGTGTATACATGTAACTTTTCGTAAATTGTTTAAGGCTTTGTGTTTGAATAAGTTGCTTTTTGTGCTTACATTTCCCTCTCCCACCTGTCCTGGTGCGGCGTTTCACGAGAAGGATGGGGTTTTGGAGGTCGTCAGACGGGTGCCTGTCTCACTGGGTCCCCTCCCCTCTCTTCCAGTGGTCTACCATCACGGCAGCAGTGCGACGGGTGGTCATTACACTACAGACGTCTTCCAGATCGGTCTGAACGGCTGGCTGCGCATCGATGACCAGACGGTCAAGGTGATCAGCCAGTACCAGGTGGTGAAGCCCACTGCAGACCGCACAGCCTACCTCCTCTATTACCGCCGAGTGGACCTGCTGTGACCGCCGCTGCGCTGTGTGCCCACGCCCGCTTGTAGAACACCACTCCCACTGACTCCCTCCCTCTCTCCGGTGGTGCCCTGGAGAGAGCTCCCTCCCTCTGGCAGAAACGGGCTCCAGTGAAAAGGAGATGCCTTGCAGTTCGTGCGCAACATAGTGTGTGTTGACTTCCAACTTCCAAATCAAAATCATTTGGTCGAAACAGACTCTCGCTTGATTTAAGAAAATACACAAAAATCCATAATTCTGAAATAATGGTGATTCCTGAGTAAGAAGGAGAACTTGTCTTTGATTCCTAGTCTGATTGCTTAGAATAAATTCTGCACCAGCAACACTTGTAAATTTGTGAAAATGAATTTTATCTTTCCTTAAAAAATGAATTTTTTAGTCCATCACACTTTCCTCCCCCACCCTTTAGTTTTTGATAAATGATAAGAATGAGCCAGTTATCAGAGAAGAAACAGTTCTTCAAAAGAAAAATAAACACAAAAAAATCAGTTGCTGGTTCCTAAAAATACATTTTAATAATTGTGTGATGAGAAACTGCTTACATACACATTACAGATCAAATATTCGGAGTTAAGGTGTTAGTCACGTTGATGGGTGATTGTAACTTTATTGCCAGTAAAAGATTTCAAATTGCATTCATGCTTCTGTGTACACATAGTGAAACACGGGCAAAATAACGAAGATTGATCTTTCCTTAAGTCCACTCTGTTCACTTCTGCCTGCTCTTCTACAATGCCACGTCTCCAGTTGTACACAGTTTAGTGATACCTAGGATATAAAGTCGTCGCCCATCAATAAAAATCACAAAGTTGGTTTAATACTGTGCTTAGTGTTTCTTTGACTGCAAGCGCCTTTCCCCGCCACCGGAACTCAGGCCCGTGGATCGGCCGGAGAGACTTGGGCTATGCTCCTTTAATGTTCCCACAGTTACAACTGTGGTGATTTGGGTAAGCGGCTTTGTCCGAGTCTTCAACTAGTGGGACGGGAGATCAAGTGTCCCTGCGTTGTTTCTGCCTCTAGCACCTTTTCATTGTGTGCCGCTGGGGTGTCTCAGCAGCACGGGACGCCACCCTCGGGTTGTGGAAAGGAAGCCTTCCTAGACAGAAGAGGTGGGGAGGAGACGCAGGCACACTCGGGTCAGGCCACCCCCAGTGGCTCTTGTGCCACTGGGCCCTGTGCAGACGATTCATAGAAATGTCCTTGGACCCCCAGAGAGGCAGCTGTACATGGTCCGAGTCTGTCTCCTGAGCTCTTCCCCTTCCCACCCGGTGTTCCCAGTTGTACCCCGTACCTGCCACTGCCAGCCCTCTCTCCCCCACCCACACGCTCAGAGCTCGCTTTTAAATCACTGTCCTGTCCATTACCCCGCTCATTCCGTTGTTACCCTACTCCGATTCACTTGCCTGGCTTACCAGCCGTGTTACAATTAGCTTCTCATTAGAATTACGTACGATTCTTTTGGAAGATGTGGTGCTTGGAAGCTGAACTACCTTTGGAGGAAGCAGCCCACCCCAGCAGCAACCCGGCTGAAGGTGAAGTGAAACCCTGTTCTGAAGCGCTGCACTGAGCTCAGGGCTGTCATGCTGTGAGCCCTGTCCTGCCTCTTCCGCTGGGCATGGCTTCTCTGTCCTGAGTGTGCCACTCGGCCTCCGGAACTGGCGTTGGTCGTTGGCACCCAGCAGGATCAAGTGGCTTTTATTATTTAAAGTTATTCAAGTGTCTCCTGTGAGTCAGTCTCACACTCTCTCAGCAACAAGGCGCTCCGTTCCCAAGTGCCTCTCACAGGAATCGGACAGGAGGCCAGGCAGTGCTGTCGTTGGTACCCTGACCTGCTTCCAAGTCTTTAAAGCGCATCCAGCATCTTTAGATGAGAAGTGTTTCCGTCAGATCCCATTCAGGTGTTTCTCCATAATCTTTAAATTGTCCAGCCCAAAATGCATGGGAAATGACAGATACTGAGAAACTTCCTTTGAAAGATCACCCAAGTTTCTGTCAAAAGTGGAGAGATTAAATCCAGTGGGACATTCGGGTGTCTTGGTCAATGTGTACTGTGTGATACTGGTCCACCCTTGAGTTGCTATCATCCGTGGTACGCCCGGACCTATTAATTCAGTCGTGTAATAGCCCGCAAAGGGCTCCACTGTTCCCTGCAGGTGAGGGTGCTCGGTCTGAAAGGTGGGAGCGAGCTTTGCTTGAAAGAGAGCCTGCATAACCCCATAGCACCGAGCAACTCCAGTTGTGTGTGTGACAGACGGAGCTTCCCAGTTTTGTTGGACCAGCACGCCTGGGTCAGCAGACAGAAGGGCCTGACTCAGGAAGGGACAGAATATGTAGCACGAAGAAGCCAGCCTGCAGTTACGAATCGTCTGCACTTGGCCCTTGGAGTGAAGCATTGGATCATTCCAGTAAATCCAGCATTTTCTGGGGTCCCAGGTGAATTGTGGGCTTCTCTATGTTATCTGTTCTTGAGACTTTGAACTCAATGTTTAGTATTTTGTGCTGCAATGTTTAGGGGTTGTTTTTGTTTTTTGTAAATTTCATAGACTGTTTCTCTGGCTTTAGTTAATTTATGGAATAGAACTGTGCCCATTAACAACTTGGTGGTGTTGATATAAACTTTGAGTGAGTTTTCTTTATTAGCATTTGATATGTCTTTATAGATGACTCAAACTAATGTGAACACTGAGTTATTGTCAGAAGTTTATTACAGGGAGGTTTTTCTTTAATGTGTCAGTTATTGTAAGACTTGGACGTTCTCTTCCAGGGAAGAATGGGATGAGTACAGTGTCTGTTGGCCCAGGAGCCAGGAAGGTCGTTGCACGAGCCACTGCAGGTTTGGCTGTGTCTCCTGCTGTACACTGATCATATTCAGGGATAATTTGCCACATACCCATTTGCCCAGCGTGTTGTCAGGTGGTCTTTCTGTGGAAACGACCGGAGGTCAGCTTTTGAATCACTGTCTTTGCATTCAAGGGAACTGCCCGATCCTGGTGGCTGTGGCACTCGTGAAGTGTTTTTTTTACTAGGATTTCATACTGACATAAATCTTAAGATGGTTTCATTTTTTTTTTGTGAACTCTGTTTTGTCATAGACTCCCTCTTAAGTGCTTGCTTTTAATTAGTCTTATTTATTATTGGGAAAGGATTGTTTGTTTTCTAACAAGTGAAATATTAAGGTAGCTTTGTCTAGTCCACTGCATCAAGCCAATAAAGTATGTGTCTGTGCGTTTGAGGAGTTCCTGGGTGGATGTCCTGCGCATTTGGGAACCAGATAAACCTCAACCCTAAGTTTCTGGGTTTTGTTGTTGTTTTTCTTAACACCTAAACCCATCCGGACTGTGTTTTGTTTTGTTTTATGTTGTCGGCCATCTGCGTGGCTTTCAAAGCATTGGTGGCCCTGGGTTGAAGGGGTTGGGTCTGGTGAACCTGACCTTGGGTTTCCCACCTGTGCTTCAAAGAAAGCAAATCTCTTCACATGTTTTCTGATTATTTTGGGATTCTCTGTGTGATTTAAGAAAAAAATTATTGCTGTGCTTTAAAAACATGATTGAGCCCTGGCTGGTGTGGCTCAGTAGATTGAGCACCAGCCTGTGAACCAAAGGTTCGCCAGTTCGATTCCCAGTCAGGGCACATGCCTGGGTTGCAGGCCAGGTCCCCAGTAGGTCCCCACAGGTCCCCAATGCACTGATGTTTCTCTCCCTCTCTCCCTCCCTTCCCCTCTGTCTAAAAATAAATAAAATCTTTTTTAAAAAAGAAGATTTAAAAAATGAAAGTCATGTAAGATATGGATATACTTCTTTACTTCCGGCCAAGATGGAGATGTAGGTAGATACACTTTACCTCCTCACAAAACCAAGGAAGATCAACAACAAATTTAAAAACAAAAAATAACCAGAACTGTCAGAAAATTGAATTGTATGGAAGTCCGATAGCCAAGGAGTTAAAGAAACATTCACTCAGATGGTATGAGAAATGGAGACAGGCAGCCAGGCGGAGAGGACTCTCGGCAAGGTGGCGGCTGGAGGACCGAGGTGGGCCAGGCAGCGCTGACAGGGCAGGTGGTCCCACATTTGTGTGTGGATAGACTGGGAGGAACAACTGGGGAGCGAGACAGACTGCACAACCCAGGGTGCCAGTGCAGGGAAATGAAGCCTCAAAACCTCTGACTGAGAAAATCTGTGGGGGATGCAGCGGCAGGAGAAATCCTCAGCCTCACATGAGAGTTCGTTGGAGAGACCCACAGGGTCCTAGAACATACACAAAACCACCCATATGGGAATCAGCATCAGAAGGGCCCAATTTGCTTGTGGGTAGCAGAGAAGGTGACTGGGAGCTGAATGAGAGCTGAGCAAGTGGCATTGTTCCCTCTTGGGCCCCTCCCCCACCCACAGCGACACAATGCAGCCACATGGGTTGCCCCGCCCTGGCAAATACTGTAGGCTCCACCCCTTACTACATAACAGACATGCTGAGATTTAAAAAAATAATATATATATATATATAGCCCAAATGAACAGCTCAAAGCTTCAGAAAAAAATACAACAAAATGATGAAGAGATAGCCAACCTATCAGATGGAGAGTTCAAAACACTGGTGGTCAGGATGCTCACAGAAATTGTTGAGTATGGTTGCAAAATAGAAGAAAAAGTGAAGGCTATGAAAAGTGAAATAAAGGAAAATGTACAGGGAACCAACAGTGAAGGGGAGGAAACCAGAACTCACATCAACGGTTTGAAGCAGAAGGAAGAAATAAACATTCACTGAAACAGAATGAAGAAACAAGAATTCAAAAAAAATGAGAAGCTTAGGAATCTCTGGAACAACTTTAAATAATCCAACAGCCGAATCATTGGGGGTCCCAGAAGGAGAAGAGGAGCAAGAAATTGAAAACTTACTTAAAAACATAATGAAGAAAAACTTACCTAATCTGGCAAAGGAAATAGACTTTCAGGAAGTCCAGGAAGCTCAGAGATTCCCAAAGAAGCTGGACCCAAGGAAGCACACACCAAGTCACATCTTACACTACCCAAGATTTAAGAGAGAGAGTCTTAAAAGCAGCAAGAGAAAAGGAGACAGTTACCTGCAAAGGAGTTTCCATGAGATTATCAGCTGATTTCTCAAAAGAAACCTTGCCTAGAAGGCACTGGGAAGAAGTATTCCAAGTCATGAAAGTCAAGGACCTACATCCAAGATTGCTCTATCCAGAAAAGCTATCATTTAGAATGGAAGGGCAGATAAAGTGCTTTCCAGATAAGGTCAAGTTAAAGGAGCTCATCATCACCAAGCTCTTTTTATATGAAATGTTAAAGGGACTTACCTAAGACAAAGAAGATAAAAAGTATGAACAGTAAAATGACAAACTCACAACTATCAACAACTGAATCTAAAACAAAAACAAAAACAAAAATGAGCTAAGCAAGCAACGAGAAAAGAATAGATTCAGAGAAATAGAGATCACATGGAGGGTTATCAGTGGGGAGGGGGAGGGGGGGAGAACAGGGGAAACGGTACGAGGAATAATCATAAATGGTAGGTACGAAACAGAGAAGGCAGGTTAAGAATAGTATAGGAAATGGAGAAGCCAAAGAAATTATATGTACAACCGTGGGCATGAACTAAGGTGGGAGAATGATGGTGGGAGGCGGGGTACAGGGTAGAGGGAAGTGAAAGGGAGAAAAAAAAATGACAACTGTAATAGCATAATCAAATACATTTTTAAAAATATGGATATACTTCTTGGTCTGAGAATTGACTCTTCATCCTCATTCATTCCCTGTTTTCATCCGTGGGACTGGCTCTGGGCTCTTGGAGCTGTTGC